AACCCGTGACCCTCAGGTTGTGAGTCGAGCGCCTTATCCACCTGGCCATGCCGGGCTCTTGCTTAAGAAAGCTAGCATCTTATTTCTCCAGTTACATCTGGCTCTCTCTCCTTAAAATAAATCTGACCTAGTCAAAGTAAACTTAAAAGAGAAGCTATAGTTAGTTTTCTCACGTTATGTATTCAGCTTTTGTTTAATACCCAGTCTGCGAGTCTGGGTGTCATGTTTGGGGCATGGATTTGCAAACAAAGTTTTCCGGTATTATCTCTTTTATTATTATTATTCTGAACTTTTTGCAATACCTGGAATCTGAATTGTTTACCAGCGAGGTTGAATTCGCACTAGCTTTTAAGCTATGAGGGAGTAAATTCCATACCCCAATCCAAAAGTCCACACGAAATACGGTATTGGCCGCACATTATATGCAATATAAAATCTGGTTTCTCAATTCTACGAAGCCGTTTCGCGAGTTATATCGATAGAAATGATTGAGTAAGGCTTAATGAAGCTTAGCTGCCGTTGTAAGATTGGCTGAGTGCGGTACCTGTCTGAATATGAACGCTTCTACTATTTTGTTACAAGAGAAACACAGTCTGGCCAACCTTCTAAACTCCATATCTTCGTGGCCGAACATTATTGAAAGATTAGTTTATTTGGGAGTAAAGTGTGGTCTTTTAAGGTTAACAGACCAAGCTCTTTATTGGATTACATGTATTGGGAGCTTTAACTTGAATACCGGAAACAGTGACACTCCTCTATTGCTCATCTAATTCGATCTGATTGACTCGCAAGCTGGGTGTTAATAAGACTAGAAATTAAGCTTTTTTTTTATCAGCTAGGAAAGGTTAATTAAAAGATATTTTCATAGTCCATTGTAGAAACCGTTAGCAATCTACTGAGTGATAAGCAGAACGAAGCTTGGCAGGATTTGACGTCATCAGAGCGTAGGCAAGTGACATCGGGCCTCCTGCAAGGATTAGAGGAAGGAGCTTTGCTGTTGTCGGAGTCACTGGTACAAGAGAGTAACTTTCTGTTGGCCAAAGAAAACATCTGTAGGTTTATAATAAAAATAAATATTTATATTATTATTACCCTAATATATATTATTATTATATTAATATATTCCTTATATCATTTGTAGTTAAGCACAATGTTACACAATGGGCTATCTGTGCTTTGCCCACCACGGGTGTCGAAACCAGTTTATTAGTGGTATAAATCCGCAGACATACCGCCGTGCCACTGGGGGACATATATATAGTCTTAGTGTTTCAATTGTATAATACTTTAAATTAGTACCTGACTTTATCTTTGACAATAAAAGTAACCCATATAAAGAAAATGTATAGTTTACCTAAAAACATTATAGCTATTCCACTCTCACACTACTACCTTTCCTGAACTAGTAGCGTTTCAAGCAATGTGACCTGTGTTTTTTATTAGTTTACTTGGTACTTATATGTGTGTTACGCTTTGATATAAACTATCACAGTTATAAAGCTATCACAACTAAAAGCTCAGAGCATGGTCAGAACCATATCGTGGTTCGAGCTTTGGACATTCAGTAACGCACTTTTAAAGGTTAACCACTAGGTTACTGACAGACAGACAAGCAGACTAGCAGTCAAAAATCTGAAGTGGCATGTAAAAGTTGTAGTGACCATTATTTCATCTATATAAATATTGAAGCTAAGTTTTTGATCAAACAAAATGGAAGCTATGTACTTAAGCAGATCATTAACCATTAGATTAAGATCATGACTAGCAGACAAACGGACAGAGAAGTCGCATAAAATCAAACACATTAGTTAAAACAGGTGTGCACAATGAGATTTCTTTGAATAAAAATTCCTAATAATGTCAGGAGTTGAAACTTAATTAAGTATTCATTGAACTAAGTGAAAAGCAGCAAAATTCCTTGCTAAAAAGTAATTTCTTTGTAATGAATGCACACTTCACGTTGTTACGTATTACAATTTCTAACAGCCTAAAATTGATTTAAATTATAATTTAGATTTAGAAGTTAAATAAATGTCAATATGTATCCAATTTATGATATTTGCCAACAACAGTTTCTTTTTTAATACAAATATATTTTACTATACAAACAGTAACACAATTTACAATAACAGTTATTACAAATAATGATCTCTGTACAAAAGGTTTACAAACTTACAAACAATATGAGTCTTCTTTCTGGTTTGGAACTTCCTTAATATCTTATCGAGGGTTCACGATGAGCGAATTAATTTCGAGTTGATGAAGATACAGTTCACTTAACAGGGTGCTAGCTAACTTCATATTATTCTTTCTCCATCGGTCACACGTCGAGTTTTTCCACCGATAAGATTAGGTAATGTTTTCGTAAAAGTACTAATGTCCGATGTGAATCCATTGAAGTTAAATGGTTTGTAATGTTCGAAATTTATGAACGTTCCTGGTCAAATATTTGAAGTTACCGGTTACTAAACGTTATTCACTGTTATACTTTCCGAGGTTTATAGCATACCAATTGTAGCAAACCAATAATATGTACTGTCTTTTGGCGCGTCGCGTTGGTTGTATTTATAGGCGTGAGAAGAGTTTCTCGAAATTTCACCTTACGCAACAATATAAACGATGCAGTGTTTACGTACACACATATATTATTGATTTTTAAAGTCGAGAATTTTCTACAAATTTAGAGAATAGACGGGAATTTCGCAATACAGATTAAACAGTGTAAGTTATGTACATTTCTAAATATAAATTTAACTTAAACAAATATAGATAATAAAATAGATATATAATAGTAAATCCGTCACAAACTGAAGAGTGAAATTTAAAAATAAATTAATCAATATTTTACAGTATCAAAAAACAACGAAACGAAAATAACGTTGAAATTCACAAATAACCGGAACAAAAATTAAAATAGTAATGAATATTTTATTTGTAAATAGTTTTAGAGAGCATCTTTTGGGATAGCCAAAGAGTGTTAAATAGTTGTACTATATTTCCGCATTGCAGTTTGTTTGTTTGTAATTAAGCACAACGCTACACAACGGGCTATCTGTACTCTGCCCACCACGGGTATCGAAATTCGGATTCTAGCGTTGTAAATCCGCAGACATACCGCTGTTCCACTGGGGAGGGGGCAGACAGACAGCAAGAAGCTTTAACAACAGTAGTTTACAAATATTTATTAATGGGTGATCAGAAGGCAAAAAATGCACGTATTTTAAACGTTTTATTACTTTTACTTCTTTTGTAATATCTGTATATAAACAAACAACTAAATTTTATTGTATAGTTACGACGAGAAGTATTCGCAAATTTTATGTTTTCTATTAATAAGTTCTATAATTTATCCTTAAGAAATACTTTTGAGCATTTTAAATGCTTTTTTTTGGGTAAATGAACAAAACATTTGTGTTCTAGTAATGCTAGTACAAGCTGTAGATGTCAGAAAAACGCAGACTTTGGTGTTCCCTTTACCGTCTCATGTCCGAGGTTCGAATTGGGCCAGGGCCGAAGATTCGTTACACCTTCCTGTCCAGTCTTTGATAGAATATTCTAATCAGGGTAAGAATCTAGCTATTATAAGTAAGATAAAATGGCATGAACATAACAAGATTAACAGTTATGCATTTGTGAAAGTAACATTTTATTTCTTCGATGCGGGCTATGTTTTTGTAATCCTTCATTTTACAACAACGTGTAAGTGTTTCTAATTATTCACAGGATTAGCTCGTATAGTTCTACGTATTTACAACAAGGTTGATGAACTGCTAAAACCAGAGGCTGGTTTCCAATCTCACGTAACTCAAGTGCAGGACACTACAAACGTTACATGGGTCATCAACTCTCGAGTTGTTGCCATCACTGTGGGAAGAAGAAGGAGGTTGAGGTTGTTGGAGCCGGTACAGATCAGATTCAAGCACATACAGGTAACTTAAAATGTTTGGTTTTATTTCTATTATCGCCTTAAAGGCTTATATCTGACATTAAGTAACTGAAATACTACGTTCACCTTCCATTATAAGGCTTCATAGTCTGAACACGTTAACCATTGGGCTACGCCCGGCCCCCATCTTATTATTAAAATGTATCAAACTGTATTCTTGTTATCATTCTGTACCTGCTGATCTTTTTCTAGAAAACAAGCACAACAGCAAAAAGCGCCTTTATTAAAGTATTTTTTTATTTAATAATTAAAAGAAAGTGGAAAGCTTTTCAAACTTCTTTGAGTTATGTAAAAATTGAATTACAAGTAGGGAAGTATGGAAGACGTCATCGTATGCATAAGGGAGGGATTGGTGTAGATAGTACTATGCATTGTAAAGGAAAGGTATTTGAGGAATAAATCTGACATCCCTCAGAGCCCCATCTAAGACAGCAGTTTTTATCTGTTAAAGTTTTGTGTGTGAATTTCTTCATTTGTTTATAGACATTTCAAATACAGGTGTCATCATCCTGTTGAGTTTTAATACTTGTACCCGATACCCAGGTTTTGAAAGCGTCACTAGATCTGGTGTCATTTTTGATCAGACCATCTAGCTCAGAGTGTCTTTTGTACTAGAGGTGTTTGGTGGATAACAAGTGTTGTGGAATAGGTTTAACCCAGTAGTTTTTAACTTCGCAATCATTGAGACGTCTCACAAAGCCATCACATTCGTTCAGAACTCTACATACCTAGCCTCTTACGTGAATAGTCTAAGTAGGTCATTTAACTGTCTTAATTACTTTAAATATACATCACTTCCATTATGGTTTGTAAACTTTGTGCATTCAAATACAAAATACCACAAAAAATGTCATAGACGAAGGATGAGTTTTTCGTCTAGAGTAATATTACTTTAGTTGCTCTTTATCTAGGTAATACTGGACGCAGTAAATGTTCGTACATTAAGAATTTCAAACTGAAGTTTTTAAAAGCATAGTAGATCATCTTAGAAAACGTTGCAGATATTTAGAATAGTGTTATATTTTTCAATTTTGAAACTTTTTCTACAGAAAAAAATATAACTTTACTAAATTAATGAAACTTTTTTCTATCCTCTAGGAAGAAAATGTTACCAATCCACAGTGTGTTTTCTGGGACATTATGTTAAGGTAATTTTAAAACATAGAGTTTGTTCAAAAAACGTTCAACAGAACATTGTAGTGGAATAACATTCAGATTTGTAGAAAACAGCAATAATTTTACACTCCAACATATTGGTTAGCTGGCATTGCCATGTAGTGATGTGTTATCGAAAAAATAGACGAGCTATTGCTCTGAAATACCTTTTATATATTTTTCCAATAAATCAAAAAATTCTGCGAATATTTCTGCCAGTTCATATAATAATAATGACAATAATATAAAACCAATAACGAATGAACTGCTAAACTGAATAAAATAAAGTGTCTAAAAATGTAACGACCTCTTTTTTTTTTTTAAACAAATTTCCTATGATAGAACGAGCCTGACTGTAGGTTAAACCTAATTTTACGTTAATGTGACAATCAATATATAATCGAGAAACCAGAGTTGCTTAGTGTTAATATATAAATTTGATTTTTAGAACCTATTAACTGAGATTGTTTGTAACAAAACCTAGAAACCTGGACTGCCTTTGTAGCAATAATGTTTTGTCACAATATCCTGAAGTAATATTTATTAATCTCCAGGCAGGATCAATCTTCGAAATAACAACATAATTGGTTCTTTTCTGTAGCTAGTTGGCAATTTTTTTATAGAGTTTACGTGCGATGCATTATTATGAGTCTATAAGGAAGGTATTCTTCTAACTAAGTACATGTGTACTTACAGAGAATGGTCGAAAGAAGGATGCTGGACAGTGCAGTCGAACACTTCTCACACTTCTTGTGCTTGTAATCATTTAACCAACTTTGCATTACTTATGGAAGTGAAACCCGTTCAGGTGAACTGACTTTGATAGCTTCTTAATAATTTGCATTACTTTAAAAATAATGATATTTTACCATTTTCAGACTTCATTTAACTATACCTCAAGGTAGACTCACCTCAAGGGATTTTTACTTTCTATTTCCGTTTAATCAGAATATTAATAATAATAAAATCTACATAGATCAATTTAAACAAAACCCTAGCACTTTCGACAGGTGGTCCAGTCTTCTTCAGGGAGAAAAGAAGAAGGAAGAATACTACGAAACCAATGGTAAGCGCTAGGGTTTTAGAGAAGTTGACCTACCAAGTCCTTTCGATCCCACGTGTTTTTTATTATTATGAAATGCTATATACATAAAAACGTTTTCAATAGAAGAAAAGATTTACTCATGAATTTTTAATTTTGTTTCTCTAGCCACTTTCTTCAAAACACTTTACCCTTCAACTAGTGACCTCGTTAGGGTGTGCTATATGTGTAAAGTTTCTCCTGATAACTGCAGTTTCCTTGTATGTGTTACGGTAAGTAGGCTTTACTTTAAATTCAATATTATTACAGCAGTGCTGTCTCTTCGCAGTAGTTCAAAACATTGGTTTATTTTTTTAACAGTCTACGTTTTTTGTCAATTCTGTCAAATCTATCAAAATGTTGTAGCAGTGATTTTTTTGTGCACGTGCCTGGGTGTTAGGCTTATATCCAATATTGCACGTAATGGTGCATTATTACTAATAAGTGTTATTCTAGTTTGTGTATGTGTGAATGGTTTTTTTAGCCATCTATCTTGATATTTTCTCGTCTGTTCGACACTAATATATAAATCCTAATCAGTTTCTTAATAACAAGATTTCCCAACGGTAACATACAGTAGGTTGGCACAAATGTTATATATTTTTGACCCTTTTCGCTTAACTTACTACTTTTTTTGACATCTTCGTAATTTAAGATCAATACAGCAATTAAGCCCAGTTTTATAATTACTATAAAAGTTGCAACCGTTATGATAAGCAGGGATAGTTTTACTGATAAAATTATACTTGTATATGTTACAGACTCCATTGTATTAAGTTGGATTAGCAAGATACACGTGCATATATTAAGAATAGTGCCTTTGGCTTTACGGTTGTAAGTGAATATGTTTGAGTAATGTCGTTAGTCTCGAAAAATAGTAGAACACATATATATATATGTATATGTATTTTGCTGGTATTGATTCTTTTCAAACAACTCATGTTATCAAACTTTCAAGTACTTAATATGTTTTTTTTTTTTGTATTATTTTAGAAAATCTCAAACTGATCGAACTACTATCCAGAAAAACACGTGTTTTTGCCTCCTAGTGGCAGAGCTAATCTTTGCAGCAGGCATTAATCAGACACATCTTCGAGTATTATGTGGATTTGTGGCTGGAATCCTTCATTACTTCTTTCTGGCTGTGGTTGTCTGGATGTTCCTTGAAGGCTTCCATTTGTATGTGTTGTTGATAGAAGTTTATGACTCTGAAAAAAGCCGGGCTCGCTGGTATTACGCGATGGCTTACGGTATACCAACAGTGATTGTTGCTGTATCAGCAATAATTGATCTCCAGAGCTACGGGACCAGCGAATATTGTTGGTTACGATCTGATAATTATTTCATTTTCAGCTTCGTAGGACCAGCAGCGGGCATTCTTTTTGTAAGTAACGTATAGCTGCAACTATATAAATATATATTTAACGTTTTGCTTTACAATAACTGTATCACTGTTGTTTGTTTTTTAGCCTAAATAGTTAGGATAGCTGAATAAACTCTTAAACTAAGGAGTTAGCTGTAACCTCCTTAAGTTGATAGTCCAAACGATAGGATTGTTCTAACTCCGTTGTTCATACGGTAGGCTCAAAGTCTTCAATAATCTTATAAGTAATTAAATGTAAAACGAAGCAAGTATGATCGAATTTCAGGAGAAGACACAAGAGGCAAAAATTTAAAACCACTTACATCAAAATATTAATTGAATCATATCAGTACGAACTATTTATCGAAATGCTTGTTTTCTTCTCAATACGAGTTTCATAAATTATAAGTTATTCCACCTTATTTCATCTTGTCAGGGTTGTACAGTGTTCCTGTGTATTGCGACCTGTATTACGTGTCACCATACCAACATTCCTACGATTATCAAATGCAAAGAAGCGTCGAAGCTGAGCAAAATCAAGTGAGAAACGTTATACGTATATTCTTTTCATTGTATAATTATAAATCTAGGTGAGATTCAAGGAGAAAAAGAAACATTTAAATGAAGTCTGATCGATATAAGACTTAGTTTTAAAAGTAAAATTCTCTTATTAAAATTATATCACTAAACATATACAAGCTACTATGACTCATGCAGAATCCATCAAGAAATATTTAAACTATTACTTCATCACATGTTCATGCATTTTAAGTTCTTAGTATACACTGAGATAATACACTATTATATGTCAGTTTCTCGAAGTAGAAACAGAATGTCGCGGGTTTTCAAATATATTACAATATCTGTGATAAATGTAGGAAACATTTCTAAATGCCTATCAGTTATGTATAGCATTAAATACAAACGTCAATACGAACACGACAAAAAAGTAGTGCTTCCTATTTCTGACAGACTTGAGACTATAAATACTGTATATTTAGATTTGTAATTTCAAATGTAAATAGACACATTATTATAAAGGTTTTGAAGTATAAATCAAAGAACTTTAGCAGGAAAAATATATTTTCAATATGTTAAAAATATGGTGCTCAGTTTGGATAAATATACGTATATAAATTTGGGTTGAATAGTTTTATATTTGTATATATGAATGAACATGTATGTGTATAAACGTAATGTGTACACGTAATTTTGCAGAATATGGATAAGATGGACCATCGTTATGCTATGTTTATTAGGCCTTACATGGACGTCAGGTTTTCTGTATGTCAACCAAGGAACAGATTTTCTTGCTTACATCTTCACGGTTCTGAACTGTATCTTAGGCTTATTTATATTTGTATTTTACTGCCTGCAGAATGAACAGGTAAGATAGTTTCGTTTTTCATGAAACTCAATTAAATTAATTATAAATTCAGTTTACCAAAATGGGTAATTAGAAAATTAGGCACTTTTGCAAAAAAAGTCAACATCTTACACCCGTTTCGTAAGGAAATTATTATGTTTTCATTGACCATTTACTTGTAAACAATTGATAACAGTATGTAAACAATTTTCGGAAGCTTTTCAAAGCTATTGCAATGATTGTTTACAAATAATATAGGTATAGTTAATGTAAAACTACCTTTTCATTCCTTCACTTCAAAAACTGTTAGACGCTATCCAACTTTTCTGCTATATACTACATGTATATAGCTCTAATACTCTTGTTTTAGTAACCTTTTGATTTTGTAGAAGTAATGTGAAACGTATTAATTATACATTATGTAACAAAAACATTTTCTATCGATTAAGTATTGCAGTTTCGCGGTGTTTCAGCCTGTCTATTATTAACTAATAAGAGCTGATCTACATTAAAACTTCAACGCTTACGTAGTCATAGAATGGTTTTGCCACCTTGTGTAAGTTTTAATGTTTTTCATGTTACACGAATTCCAAATATATCAATTGTAATTAAACCCTACAGTTTAGAATTATTCAGTGACTTATTATTTTCTTTATCAAATTTCCTACTTGCTTGAATTAATTATTGTGGAAAAAGGCGCGTTGAACTATTTCTAACAACCTATTTAGAGAATCATTCCCTGTATGTAGCTTGGTCATTCATAATTCTATCGGAAAGTATGTTAATTACATTTTGTTACAACCTGCTAATTATGAAACGTGTAAAAAAATGAAATAAAGAGAGATATGTTTGAAAAATAATTACATTTTTTAGGGTTAACAAAAATATTATATTGTAATTTTGGTTTGTGACCCAATAAGGCTACAGATTCTGCAAAAAATTGAAACACTGAACATTAATAATAAAAACTTAATTCACGTTTTTTTTTAGATAACGCTATTGAAGCTGTTATCGTTTTACTGCCGTTAATACTGTCGTTGTTAATATTATAGGTACAAGAAGTCCTTTCAAAGTTCTTAGAGCGATATGAATGGTTACCAAAATGTTTTGTTCCTACCAAGCCAAGAGAACAGTCGAGGGACGAGCTCTCAGGAAGAGTTACAATGCCAACCAACTTGCCGCCAAGCCAACACAGTGTGGGTACCTCTGTGCCTCTGACTTCTTCTTCTGTTTGTTGTTTATCATCAGGTATTGCACCTGTTCTTTTGCGCCCATTTGTCTGCTTACTCTGACGTGTGTTTGTTGTAAAATAAAGCAGTTACTTTAATAACAAGCTCTTATAATTCTTGCTTTATGTTCTATATAACATTGTTTTTACTTTCCTGTTTTTCAGAATGCTAAGTCTGATGCATGAATTTTATACGCTTTGCCAATGAATGTTACCTTCTCAAACCCACAACTGTTTATCTAACCGTAAGAATAATGAACGAAACACTATTTTCACTCTATTGACTTTATTTTGTTGATATATTTATCCTCATTCTTTCTAATTTGTGCATGTTTTTTTACTAGTTGCTGTTTTACTTACTGGGACGAATGTTTCTAAATTTCTAGATGTCTGTCATTTCCAAGGGTGCAAAAGGTTTCTTTCCTAACATTCACAATGAGCTCTTGACTGAAAAATTTATTAATTAATTAATTTTTAGTAAATGTTTGTTGGTTAAGAAAAAATTAGAAATTTTAATCGAACATTTGAAAGAGTTTTATTTGTTTAGAATTAAGCACAAAGCTACACAATGGGTTATCTGTGCCCTGCCCACCATGGGTATCAAACCCGGATTCTAGGATGTAAGTCCACAGACGTGTCACAAGGGGGGGGGGGCATTTGAAATAACTTCTCAAATTGAAATTGGCAAAGAAATTCCAACATACATAAATGTGTCGATATTATAGTTTTATTTTTCTTCCTTACTAAGAAAGACGAAAATGGAAATATATAATAAATGATTTTTTTCTTGAGGGCAAAACGGTTCTAACTGAAAAATAAATAAATATATATATATATATATATCCGTGAGCATTATATCTGTGGAATAGCAGGAAAAGTTTTTATAAAGTTGTTTTGGTTAAAAGAGATCATTTTAAAGTTGTTAGGTTAGACGTTTATGTGGCTTCTTAAAATATCACACTAGTCAACATAATCAACTATGAAACAAGTAAAAACTTTATTCGTCTAAAAAAGTGGAATACTTAAAGAAATAAATAAATGTTAAAACGACATGTTGCCATTGTTCGCCTGGTACCCTATATTGACACAGGTACTTCTTGGGTAGAAAAAAGTCACATTATTCAATTTGACATGCACATCACGTTTAAATAAGTATAAAGGAGCTCCTGGGTATTTATTCAACAGTGGTTTTTAATGAGGGACTCTCTGTTAAGAGCAGTTACACCTATCTAATAATGGGTAAATACAAAATACCTTGAAAACAATCTAAAGATCCACTATTAAGGAACAACAACTTTTGACATTTCTACATGTCTTCTTCAAGTCAACTTTTGTTAGTGTCGAAACTTGTTGTTCCGTTAAAGTAAAACTAAACTTTAGTTTAAATGTCTTCTTTACTGAAGCAGCCACGAGAAGCGTTACTTGTATATTGGAAAACATGAAAGGGGTTTATATATTCCACATATATTCCTTTATTTAAATGTCTTCTTTACTGAAGCAGCCACGAGAAGCGTTACTTGTATATTGGAAAACATGAAAGGGGTTTATATATTCCACATATATTCCTTTATTTAAATGTCTTCTTTACTGAAGCAGCCACGAGAAGCGTTACTTCTATATTGGAAAACATGAAAGGGGTTTATATATTCCACATATATTCCTTTATTCTAATATTCAGTTTTCTTTGCGTTTCTCCTACGTAAAGTTTTCACAAATCATTGCCTGTAATTTTATAAATACACTCAGGATTTTCAGTTTTTGGATATTTTTTAGAAATTAGGGAAGAAAGTTTTGTATTGGTTTTGTAAGGGATGTAACCTCTATATCGAGATAAAGTATTTCAAAGTTTTTACTCCATCCTTTTCTATTAGCACTGGCTACCCCTGGTATACAGCAAAAAATTGGGTTCCGTTGGCGTTTAAAGAAGGATTATTAGATCTTTATAATAATTCTATTCACAATTTCAATTTAACTCTACAAAGCAATTTATAAATCGTCCTATTTCCAAAATAAAACTTTTTTGGCTGTTACACATTCCTTTAGCATTACTTAAAATGTTTTTTTGTAATATCCAGTTTCTGTGCTGAATTCCAAGGTATATAAATGTCAGAATGTCTAGGTTTCTGATAAACCAAATTTTAGAAACCATTTTCTGATTTAATAATAGAAACGTTAAAAATGTGAACGAATTCTTTTTCAGTCTTTAGTATAAATAACAATATTATATAACTTACTAAGATGTCTATGAAATTTAGCATATTTTAGACTCAATTCACCTGTAACAGTATTGTCCATATATCTTAACCAATAAAGATGAGAATAAAATGAAGTTTCTATAGCTCTCGTTTCTATTTCAATCATAAATAATTTGGCTAAGACAGGTGCCTGTGGACTATCCATACTAATTCCATCTTTCTGATCAAATGTTTCTACCAGTAAATTGAAAATTAATACGAGTTGCTCTAAACATGAAGAGTTCATGAACATTTTAAATTCTGAACAAGATCTGGATGTGTCGTTCGGTTTAAAACAGTCCAGAGTAAGATCAATCGACTCTAAAACGAGAAATTGTGTGAACAGGGAATAAATCTTAACCTAACCATGTTAACATTGGGACAAAAACCGAGCTCCATTATAAATATTATTGTTGCAAAGGTTTCATAAAAAAATAAAAAACTATAAAAACTGACCACTTTTGATCTGACCTTTGCAGATTCCACAGCATCTCAAAACCACTCAAGCTCAGAACTGTTTTACTTCTCCAAAGTTCACCACACAAGGTAAAAAAAAGTATGAAGCATAAATAAAACTAGTTTTACTGTATGTGTGTCTTGGATCGCAACTAGTTTTCATGTAATAGGCATTTCAGAGTTTGTATTATCATTATTTATATGCTTATTAAATAAACTTTCGCGAAGTTTGCAATAAAATTTATCGTATTATATGTTATGATTGAAATATAACTATAGGGTTGTGGTAATTGTGCTGAATGTTTTTTATTGTACAATGTTTGGTATTAATTTTTCAAACAGATCACCTATCTACGTCAATAGTATCCAACCAGGGAGATGACACCTTTCAGACTCCTTTACCAATCATTGGATCCTTGAGGAGAACAAGACACAAAGACAGTGGTATGACCTCTCAAACCAGAACATCACCAAGCGTATCGAGAACTAGCTCTCCCAATCGTTACGGGTTTGTAGCCAATCAGCATCAACCTGGAGTAGGTGATGATGGAGGTCATCAACTGTTTCAGGTTATTCCTTGCAACAGAAGGTCAGTTTGTGGACCTTATTCTGATTCTTCGGGCGTTTACAGTGTCTTCGCTGATCATATATATGAATCCATTGAAGATGATGTCAGAGGAAGTTCTACTCGTAGTGATTGTGACCATCGGCCATCCATGGTCAAACAGTCTCCTCCAGCAGAAAATTATTACGGCGACCATTCCGATCTTAGCCAGCATTCTTCATCTAGTGGATATGACCAGCGACCTCTACTGGTGACGTCAATTCCAGAAAAACCACACCCGACAACATCTAATCAGCTAGTGTACGGAATGAATCTAACTCACGATAACTATTCACTAACTTCCACTCCAGAGTTTCCAAGGCAACAACAAAGAGACAGAATTCATGGTAGTGTCCGTAGAAATCCCAACTGTGATAAAATACCGAATGTTCACATGCTTAACACAGCTTCTCCAAAACTCATCCACGAATCTACCATAGACACATGTGGAAATCAGAATCAGCTGATCTCAAATATCGACCCAGAAGACTGGACGCCAGTTCTGCCAGATCTTCTCCGTTCTCCTCCAGATAACGTTGTCATGGCAATTTTAGATGGAGAGAAGGTAGTAAACCGTCTTCATACAGACGTAGGAAATGCAGAAGATACACGGGATCAATCTTTTCACAAACTTAGTACTTATTGTTGAAAATGAAGAGCGTTGTAAGGTTATTTTCTGTCCTTAACGATGCTGTGTGTGTGTATTTTTGTCAGTCAGTGCGTCTTTTGAGCAATGAATATTTGCTTCAAGAAAAATAAAAATGGTGTAGTGCATTTAAGTGTGGAATCCAAAGAAAGGTGTTATATAAGGAACACCAAGTAAACCAAAAGGCCAGGTGCACTAGGCATAGAACTTTTGAAGTGCCGTAGTCTACAATACTAGTCCATCCACGGTATAAAATTAAACACGAGGGAAGGGATTGAAAGTATTTGTCAGTGTGTTACTCTGATCCATTCTCTGTAAGCATTATGTTTTGTAAACCAATCTTCAAAATAAAAAGAAAAGAGTTTTTTGAGTGTGAGGCACAAGCCTAACGTTCTGTGAAACCTAATTGCCCTGGAAGATCTAGATGTGATACATTTTGTAACTAGATCAAAAATGTGATGTATATATATATATATATTTGACCAATTATAGAGAGCTTTGCATGTTGAAGAGACGTACACTTGACGTACTATTTAAAGACTCAGTAAGATGTTGCTATTTTTTCTCTTCAGCTTCTTAAGATAAGCTACATGGATGATATATATATTAAGGGTTTGTGTGATAGTAATTTCAGATCATTTACGTTAATCAAGATTTTTGTGTGTAAGGATTCTGGATATTCAAAGATATAGGAGTAATGGATCCTATAGAAAAATACTGATAATGATTTTTGGTGTTCGTCAGTATCAGAGTGAGAAGAATAAGCCAGTTTATCCCGACTTATGGTTTTGTTACCTCTCATTCTTAACACTATTAGCCATAAGGATTCCCGAGAATGTTAAGAAACGAAACAACTCCCAAAGTTAAGTTTTTGTAATTAGAGTTTAAAGTGACCCAACAGGTTCAAAAGAGCGGGTGAAAAAAATCCATCAAAACGTCTAGAATTCTTATTCAATGTCAGTGATACATTATCTTACTGTGATGCTACTCATATATTGTAAATTTTTGTGGACACAGTATATATCCTTCGTGTGGTTCAATAAGTAAAGAACTTTGACTTACTTAATTAGTTGTCTCTGCACACACTTCTCACTACATATAGATATAATAACAAAACAGTATACACCAGTAGTGTAACCACATTTATCGTATTGAAGTGTTCTGAAAAGAAAATATATGAAAACTTAGAACTTTTTAATATTGTAAGAAGATTAATTTAATCAAAAGTATTTCTTACGCATTGTGATTTTAAAATTTTCCTAACTTATATACAAATTTATCTTGTTTTTATGTAATTTTGTAAAACAAAAACTATTTGCGACTCTCTGTATATCGAATATTCTATATTCTTTTCTTCACAGGTACATGTACTAACAATTTCACTTTGTTGTCCATCATATATTTTTGTTTTATTTTCAATTATAACAATAGTGTACGTTATAACTGAAAACCTTAGTTTTTCTAAGCTTCAACAATTCTACTGTCGAAGTAATGAGTACTGTACGATTGTTCCCTTTAAAATATTTGTAAAAGCTCTTCGTTTCCACCAGTGAGTTTGGTTTGTTTTGTTTTGAATTTCGCGCAAAGCTACACGAGGGCTATCTGCGCTAGCCTTTCCTAATTTAGCAGTGAAAGACTAGAGGGAAGGCAACTAGTCATCACCACCCACCAGCAACTCTTGGGCTACTCTTTTACCAACGAATGGTGGGATTGACCGTCACATTAAAACGCCTCCACGGCTGAAAGGGCGAGCATGTTTCGTGAGAAAAGAATTCGAACTCGCGACCTTCAGATTGCGAGTCAAGCGTCCTAACCACCTGGCCATGCCGGGCCCCACCCAGTGAGACAGCGGTAAATTTATGGACTAAAAGTACTAAAATCCGGGGTTCGGTTCCCTCCAGATAGCCCAATGTGACTTTGCTCTGAAACAAACAAACAAAAAGCTGTTCGTTTAAACTTTTGACAAATTCATTTACTAAAGTCTTGTCATAGCTAAATTTGACTTTCATGAAAACTGTTTAAAAAAATTAGAGAAGAACAAAAAATATGATTATTCAGTCTGATCAATGTAAATTTAGGAACACCTTTATTCTAAGATTACTGTTCGGTAATGTTTTTAAAAAGGTATGCTTTAAAGTTCGCTTAGTTATAAGAAATTATTACCAGAATCTTATTTTCCTTGATTAAATTTTAGGTTTCAACAAACCTTATCATAAAAACATAGTCAGTCATCTCATGTCAAACTGAAATCTCAAGTACAGAAAAACAAGATGCTTTAACGAACAGAATCTAACATAAAGTTTGAACCTAATTTGCTAATATTTAAATTTCTAACAGTAAACATTGGTTGAAGAACAACATAAATAATGGTAGCGACCTTTTTCACATTAATATTATGACATAATGAGTGTTTCATTTCCTGTTCTTTGTTCACCCAAACAGAACTCCAATGTATGTCTGATAATATTTCATTATTATTACAAACAGAACTCCAATGTATGTCTGATAATATTTCATTATTATTATTACAAACAGAACTCCAATGTATGTCTGATAATATTTCATTATTATTATTACAAACAGAACTGCAATGTATGTTTGATAACATTTCATTATTATTACAAACAGAACTGCAATGTATATTTGATAACATTTCATTATTATTCCAAACAGAACTCCAATGTATGTCTGATAATATTTCATTATTATTACAAACAGAACTGCAATGTATGTTTGATAACATTTCATTATTATTCACGCTCCCATAGGAAATGTAAGCTACGTATTTGAGAGTTACTTTAATTGTATTTGCCTGCTAGCTTGTTGTGCTTGTTAAAATAATACAAGTGAGTAGATGGTTATGTATTCCATAGTTGTTATTGTTGTTGTTGGTGTGTAAATAAAAGCATGGTAATCTCACTGAGAGAAAGAAACGAAACGTCAGTTTATGAATTGTGAAGTACACCATGCTGTTAACACCACAAAGTAATGAACCTTTAGATGGATAATGGTTTCAAAGCGCCCTGCATGAACAAATATAACAATTAACGAGTTTACGTTAGGAAGCACAAAAACCATTCCTACAAACATTAATATTGGGAATTACTATAAGCAAAAGTACTCAGGTGGGGCAACGGTAAGTATATAGACTGACAACGCAAATATCAAAATGTGTGACTTTGAATTTAAACAAACTTAAACAAATATATTTTTATGGTTTCCAAATATTTGTTTATTACATTCTCATATATATGTAAAGTAGATTAGAATACTAAGATACTTATTTTATTCAAACAGGTATAGCGAAAGGATAATGTAAGAACATAAAATTGCTTTATTATTATTTTACCTCTTTATAACAACCATATCTTACAGAATGAAAGGTAGTCCACTTGGTTGCAAAATCGAAGGCAAGAACTATGAAATGAATCATAACAGACTAGATACATAACATTTATAATCGACATCCTGAGCACACTGTGCTACTTCAATAGATTATGAGTAATCTAAACTGTAAAAACGTGTAATACCATAAACTGTGTATTAATAAAAACATGGAGTCATAAAGTATGAATCTAACTCCGGACTAATTTACGGCAGATTCGTCCTTTTGAAATGGATATGATCAACTAACTGTCATCTTGCAATGTAACTCTAGTTAATAAGTCCATATATTATATATACTTTTATACACTAATTTATTTCCAGGCACATTTTGTACTAAACTAAGACGTTTTTATTTCTTTTACTTTTATATATTGGGATTTCCATGGATTTAGATCCTGATCTACTTTACTTTTTTGTTTCAATGAAAATAAAGGTTAAAAATGACAATTTCAGCTTTTGACATTATCGTAAGAAACAGAACTGTCAGGTAATTTTAAAACTTAGTTTCAACCCCAAACGATTATGCTGTCTGCAGGAGAAAGCTCAAGGATTTGGAAAGGTGGACCATTCTGCCTCTTTCTGAAGTACACATAATTAATGTGTTATTTAGTCATTAGATGGCAGCACTTAACATAGATAGCAAACGTTTACCGTAACTAATTTTACAAGAAACAGTTTCACAATTTCGCTGAAAAATAGATGCATTTTTAAATACTTGTAAGTTCATGTTAATAAAAACATACAAAATAATACAAAATTCAGTGGCTTATAAATGACGTAATTATTGCTTTTATAATGTTTTCCACAGATTATATTAATCAAATGACGGGACTCGTTTATTTTCATATAACTTCTTCCGTTTATCGAATAAAACTGTATGATTAGGAAACTAATTAGGGTTTTTAAGTGATTTTATCATACATTTTGAAAACATTAGTTTTGTTTCTTTTACCATACTTTAATTAGCCATTACTTTTAAATGTCGCTCTACCAGATGTCTCTTTATGATTATTCATAACTTATTGAACGAAAAAAAACAGACAAAAATAAAAAAATCCGATAACCGGAGCACTTTCGAAAAAAATTATTTTTCTTTGTCAGGGAAAAGAAGAAAAGTCTACCTTTCGGAAATGTTCCAATTATAAGTTTTCTTATTTTGTATACCTGTGATGGACACAGCAGAGATAGCCTATTGTGGAACTTTACACTTAACAACAAACAAACAAACTTATTCTTGTATTTAATTAATTTTTTTGAACATACGTACTTTTTTTCTAAAATCATTATTGAATAAAAGATAGTCCTGTTGGTTGCCAAATAAAAAGCAAGAGGTGAGAAATCAATCATAGGATGGTAGGTACATCAAATTTATAATCGATTCCCTTGGGCACGTTGTACTATTTCAATACGTTTTAAACTTACACTTATCCCGGCTTAATAAATACTCTAAACTGATAAAACATGTTCAAAAGTGTAGAACTCTGTATATATTGAAAATAGTATGGAGTGATCAGGTGAAAATCTAACTCCAGACTATTTTACGTCAGTTCCATACGTTTTGTACTTAAATGAATTAGAAAATATTTTTAGCCGCGATCTTGACCGAATTGAGATCTAATTATAGCCGCGGCTATTAAGGATTCCCTCATGTTATTATAGTTGAAATTAAACTTTCAACTTTTACATCATCGCAAGAAGTAAGACTGGTTTGTAGTTTTCAAAACCTGGTTTCAACCTTAATGGTTTATGCTGCATGTACGACGTACAAGGTACTTTGTTGTGGAAGCTACGCCTTTATCAACGAATAGTGGGATTGGCCGCACTTGATAACGCCCTCACAGATGAAAGAGCGAGCATGTTCAGTGACAAGATGCGAACTCGCCACCAGCAGAGTGCGATTGGAGTGCCTTAACCACTAAACCATAAAAAAGAAATAGCGTCATCCTTAGGTACATCTACCAAAGGCATTAAAATTATTGTCACTAACATTGCGTTAACTATGTATCAGGTTTCTCAGTAATAAGTAATGATATATATACCAATAAAACTGAAAAACAGATGTTTTTTGAATACATTATTCGCAAAACCTCTATAATTAATTTTTAATTAAGTGATTTCAAAATGTTTCCTCGTTTTTCTTATTTGATGCAATATATAACGTCAGGGGTCCTTTCTTGCCAAATGTAGAGAAATATCGCAAAGTTTAATTTATTTATAAAAAATATTATCTCGGAATATAAAAAAAGATAATGATTGCAATTCACAATAGTACTCTAATGTTTAGATCACTGAACAACATATGTAATAAAAACCAATGAATTAGAGAAAAACGAAATCAAAATGGTCAAAAGAATATTAATATATTATTATATTTATTTTAGTTTGTTCTTATATACATATATTTATTTTAGTTTGTTCTTATATACATATATTTATTTTAGTTTGTTCTTATATACATATATATTTATTTTAGTTTGTTCTTATATACATATATTTATTTTAGTTTGTTCTTATATACATATATTTATTTTAGTTTGTTCTTATATACATATATTTATTTTAGTTTGTTCTTATATACATATATTTATTTTAGTTTGTTCTTATATACATATATTTATTTATTTCTCGTCTTTTCGAATTAGAATGAGGAATGAATTTATCTTTAGTTCAATTAAGTTTATTTCTATCAAAGATATTCACGTTTTCTATCCTTGAATATTACAATCACAATTTAACTGGTGTATGACATTACCATTAAAGCCAAAAGAACACTACTGTTTTGAAACTAAACAGGTTTATGAAAAACATAAATATTTAACGTAAAGTCTGGCGTAAATTAAGATCACAGATTTATTTTTCGCATATTACAATAATACTGTAAAAATGATATTATTCAACTGA